TATTTATTTAATACCTGGTATGCGCAAGTCACTCGTGTCAGTTGATCATGAGAGGACTTGGTATTTTCATAGCCACAGCACCTGCCTTAAGTGACCCATTAGTATAGAGTCTCCAATTTTTACTGGGGATCCGGGTTTGTTTTTTGTCACCTGGGCATTGTCTTGAGCCAATTACAAACCTCTAAGGTGAGTTTCCATCCGTTTTCCTATTATCTGAACTCATGATTCCAGAGACATATTTTATATAACAAGGCTCTGGGGCGAGAGGGAAGTTTATGATGGGAATGCAGCTACTCCAATGGGCTTAACTAACCCCTCGAGCAGCTTGCTACACACTGATTACATCATAGGTAATTTCACTGGAACACAACACCGCCCTCTACAGAAACTTCTCAACATTTGATGTCGTAGAGTTCCTGTGAATCCAAATACCTGGGAAAATCATATTCTGAGGGTCTATTTTTACCCCAAGGCCCACTCCATTCCTCAGTAAATTTTTATCCATTCTAGGTGGTTATTTACTTCAAACCAAAATAACACCCAAAAAAAATCCTTTATTGTACACTGGTGAATGTGGGTGTTTTAATTAAATTTATTGGGGTGCCACTGGTTAATAGGATCATGCAGGTTTCAGGTATAGATTTCTATGATGCAAGATCTGTATCTTGCTCTGTGTGCCCACCACCCAGATTCAGATCTTCTCCCATCACCCTATATTAGGACCCCTTCGCCCCCCCCCCCCTTGGCTCTGGAAACCACCACACTGCTGTTTGTGCCCACCGGTTTTGGTTTTACATCACACATATGAGTGACATCATATGGCTCTTAGCTTTTTCTGACTGGCTCATTTCACTTAGCATAATACTCTCAAGGTCCATCCACGTTGTCGCAAATGTCACAGTATTTCATCTTTTCTCATGGCTGAGTAATATTCCTTTGTGTATATGGGGACCTGGACAGACACCGCTCCCAAGAAGACATACAAATGGCCAACAGATATAGGAAAGGATGTCGAATGTTTTTAAAATCACAAATGTCAGAGGTTGTAATCCATCTGATCACAATGAAATTGTAAAAGTGGTAGGTATCTTACAACATGGAAACTGGGGTACAAAGAGGTTAGAAAACTTACTAAAAGTTCCACAGCTAATACATTACTGAGATCAACTCCTTGTTCCTCTCTGCTGTGCTCCATAAAGTCTCCCTTCTACTCTCTGGAGGCCCGAACACCTGCTGTAACAGGGACTCAGTATCTCCCGTGAGGATCCATTTCATTGTGAAATTAGTTATAAAGTCCCCACACACTGCAGAGTCTCTCCTTACTCCCAACGTCATTTTGGGTCCTAGAATACACTGTATTTCAGCATTTTGTTCACGAGCCAGTTCCATCAAGAACGGCTGAGAGCGCCTCTCCCCCGTCCCTGTCCCCGTCCCTCCAGGTGGTCTGTTCTTGACGTCCATCCCTGTGCCTGGTCTTCTAGTCTCTGTTGATGAGCAGATATGACACCCAGGTCGTCCAAGTCAGCAGCACCGCTGACCAGGCCATGGAGAGAACAGGAGAGGAGGCCTTTGTAAGTCAGCCCGACAGGAGCAGCTCAGAGCAACACCCGCCTGTGGTCTCACGGTCTTAGGGGATCCGGGGTCTCAGCTCAGCCCAGCCGGGGTCTCGGCTCAGA